TGTCAATCTGCTTGCCTTGTTCTAATTTGATTGCATCATCTTAAGAATTAATCGTTCACCCAAGGCAGCTTTCTTAGTGTTCGCTACAGTGCTATTTCTATCTTCTTTACTTTAGTTGATAGGATAGAGCAATTTATAAATAAATAATGCATCATGCATCCTGTAATCTCAACTTCCTTAGTCTTTCAAATACAGAACTTGTACTTCTAGGGATTGTTTTTGCATAGTTACCTCGATCAGCAGCCCAGAGCCAGCTCGCCTTCCGCTCGGCACTGGTTCAATAAACAACAGCAGAAAACATAGACAGACAGACCGACCAACCGACCACTGGGCTGACTGGCCTCTGTGACAATTCGATTTCTTTCAGTGAGCACATTTGGCCACTTCCACCTTAGAAGGAAAAATCTGCATTTCCTCTGCAGAAATGTGCGCGAAAACATCCTGAACACTTCGTCGGCTAAAAACCGACTCCAGGTGCGAATGCTGCTGCTTTAATCAACATCAGGCCAACAAAACGTCTCCAGAGCAACTTCAGCCACCTGGGTAATGGACACGGCACAGCAATAGATGCCTCATATTGGGACACATCTGGAAGGCATTAATGCATAACGCATAACATACAAATTAACAACACCATTGTAGAACTTACATAACCTGCAGCTCATGCCCACTGGAGAGTGAAATGCTCAAGCCTACTAAAGAAATAACTTGCAGTTTTATAGCACCCATCACATTGAAGTGTCTGAAGAACACTTCACGGGCAATTAAGTGTATTGGCTATCAGTAAGCAAGTGTGGTAGTTGTACAAGCTAGGTCCCACAAGCAGTGCGGGTTGACTGACCAATTGGTCTGGAAATATGGAGAGGCTGACAATGTGTTCTACCTGCAATAGCAGCCTCACATCCAGGACTAGGTGGGGTTGAGGGAAAGCATAAGGTCTAAGTTCTGGGTTTGCAATAATTCCTCTGAAAACCAGTTTTGCACCTTACCCTGTCAATCTCTCGCCCAATTTGAATTTGAGGAATTCAAAAAAACATCACACGCTTTGTCCTCCACGTATCACCCTCCCCAGAGAGTACCGTGTTGCTACAAGCTACACTTAGATCCTAAAATGTGTGGAAGGCTACAACGATTGCTTTCACTGTTGAATATGTAATGTGTACGTATTTCTCAGCTGAGAAGATCTCAATGTCAAACCACCTTAACATTTTTTCGCTTCTACAGCATGTTTAGAGACACCTAAGTGATTGAGAAGCATGATCATGTGTCCAGCTGCTTGAGTTACCAGGCTGTCCTCTTATTGACAAGAAAATAATGTACCTAGACAACTGTAACAGTGGAATAGAGACCATGAGGCGCTAACAAAGGCTGTCATTTGCAAATTTTGAGGAGGATGGATAATGACCAAAATACTACTTCACATCCCATAGATTCAAACCAGCACCTTAACCACAGTAAATGTATAAAAGGCACAATCTGGTCAGTGTATGGTGAACAGCCCATCTTCTACTCAAATTCATTCTCTGCCAGGATTTCTAAGACCTGCAGATCTCCTCACATCCCAGGCTTCCCCATCCCTCCACCTACTCGCTTTCAAAACCAAAATCAAATTCCAGTTGAATTTCATCTTCTCTCCTCTTTTAAACCTGTAATATGGTTTTTGAGTTGGGTTCCATAATTTAAAATAACCTTCCTCAATTGTTATACTGAAAAAAGGCACACAATCAAAATGGTTTCCATGTGAACGGCAGTAACACCAAACACAGTCTCCAATATGTTTTTTTTCAAATCTGCCACGTGTACGCTTTTAAAAACATGGCCAAATCAAGAGGGTGAAAGCAAACACAACCGCTGATCAATTATTGTTCGGAGTAAAATGTATATAGTTTCCAAGACTTTGCACATTTATTCAATTCGGTTTGAATATCTAGAAACAGAGCATTACAATTAAATATAAGGCTACCCGGAAGACAAAGTGGTTGAGCTTTCTGACCAAATAAATCATTCCAGCCCAACACGAATTACCATGGGTTATTGTAACCCATTGTTTTAATATTTAATAAGCTGGCTGCTGAATTTTAAAACCCAGCTAATGAAACAAACAGCACGGAATTGAAAGGAAATGCCTGGATTCCAACCCAGAAGGCTAGAAGCCCATGGTTACCTGTTGCGTGAACAGTGAATTGGCAGAGCCAGACCAGGAGATTAGTTGCAGCGTCATATGTATGAAGGCTTAATCTGCAGCAGAGTATTTCTTCAATTTGGATCAAATCTTTTAACTCCCCACGCAGGGTAGTGTCTCAGAGCGCTTAACAGTGGCAGAGCCTAACTCCGATCTGCGGGGGGTGGGTGGGGGGTTGTGGGGTGACCGTAAGGACAGTTGAAGAGGAAGGAAGAGGAAGGCATGCGTTTTCAAATCAACGCGGGTGCACAACGCTAACGCTTCCACCCTTGAAGAGACTAGCGGCAGCTGTGCTGATTAATGTTACACCTTTTTACGGTGCAAGTTATTCGATTGTTCAAAAAGAGGTAAGTTGTCTGTCCTGGGCAATAATCCAACAGATAAATTGGTTTCTTATGGGACCTTGCTGGCACAAAATGATTGTCGTATTTGCCTACAAAAAAAGTCACTACACTGGACATCTAAAGAGCTGCTTTCATACTCAAAAGAAACCTTGATCCGTGAAGCACCTTGAGATATTTCAATATGATAAGGCGCTATAGATACGCCAGTTTTTTCTTGGCTATCTTGGACTTCAGAAAACCTGAAGGCCAATAAGCTGGTAAAGGGAAAAGAACATCTAGGAATTGTCTTAAGTGACAGCATTTATTCGAGGGCTTCTGTACACTCAAAATGCATGCCTGCTCTGTCAAAGAGCATTACAATCCACACACACCCAAACCATCTCTTTACCCAATAGTATCTGTGTCATTGACTCAGGCAGAATTATCGAATGCGAAAAACTAGCTCTCTTTTTAAAAAAAAGCAAACCAGAATTCTCAACCTTCTCCAGAAGAATGAAATACAACATAGGGAAGCAATTAAGCATTAAAATAAACAGATCTGACATTACAGCTCCTGAGGACAATATACTATGTAATGGGGTTATGTAACAAGTCACAAACAACATAATTAATCCTCTCACACATTAGATAAATCATTTATACTCCAGGATGTGCAGGTTCCTTTTTTCACAACAGCTTTTACTTTCTCTGGGGAGCGGAGCCAAAAGAAAAACAAAATTTCTTTTGCTTCATGAATGGATAACAGTTCCTTTCAGTTGTGCCTTCTGTGCATCCCAGTAGGACAGCAACCACAGAGGGCCAATTAAGGTAATCATATGCTGGTGATCTTCATCGGGGATGCATTCAAAATCTCTCACCAATGAAACACTAATCAATTTATGCACAGTGACAAGCTCGATCTTATTGTGGTGCTGCTGTTACATTATCTATCTAGCATCAACCTGATTGGATTTTGCCACTGAATAGAGGCTAGAAGTGCAGTCAAACACTGCTGAAGTGACGGTGATTCGATTTTTAGGATTGTCTGCAAAACCACATGTAAGTGGTTTCGGTTTGCAAGCCATGCACTCCCACTGTGGTATAATTGCAACCAGTGGGATATCAATGTCAGCTTCTCACTCTTCCCATCTACCACCATTCGTGTCAATAGCAAAAGAGATTTTATACAACATAGCTTGGCGTGTGTGCAAAGCAGTTCTGTACGCGCATGAGACTTTCCGCAATAATTGGTGCGAGGGGGACGGTGCAATCCGTGCACTCACATCGCTTTACTACAGGCAGTGCCTCACCATTTCTTGGAGCAAAACTCAGGGAAACAATGCTCTGCGAAATCATCTCTCAAATAATGAGATCGAAAGACAACTTATCAGGGTTATACTGGCTCTTTCGATAGGATTACATCTCCTAATAATCTACCAAGAAAACCTACACAAAAGCCAGTCTGCTAAGATCTCATGTTACCCAATAGACAACTGCCTGCTGGGGCTGAATGTGCCAGAGCTGAGGACTGAAGTGCAGGGTTCAAGCGCACTGTGACATTGTTCTGAGGCAGAGGAGCAGATTCTGCCAGTTACTTGGGTGAGTGATATGAGAGCGATACGGTTGGACTGTCTTTCTAACTGTGCAAAGGCCTCAGATGATGGTTTGGTATGTCTAACCCTGGCTGAACAAGCAGCTTGATGTAGATAAGCAGCGAGTACGATAATGGCATTGTTCATTAAACTCTGACTGGCCCATTGGGCTTTCTACAAAAGAAGCTTCTGACATCGCTGACAGCTGCAACAGCAAAGGCTTTTTAAATATGAAAAGAAATGCTTTGAAGAGACTGACTGGGTGACTTTAGGTTCTCTAAGATAAGGACAAGATGATCAAATATTCCACGAGCTAGAATGGCTCTGTACAGCTGGGAGGATAAAAACATCTGAAGCAGAAGGTAAACAACTCAATAATAATAATCTTTATATTTGATATAGCACCTATATCTAAAAGTGCATCAAGGGGACCATCTGTCAAGTGCAGTGTTTTTGTAGTCATTTTGCACATAGTAAAGTTCCACAAATCGACATTAAGTGAATGATCAATTTATCTGAAAGATTGTTAGTCAGAACACTGTACAGGGACTTAAGATTTTTTAAAATTGATCTGAACAGGAAGACAGACACTTGGTCGACTGATCTGATGGATAGCACCTTTGACAGTGCAGTGCTGCCTTATCCTGCACTGGAGTATCGTCCCGTTTAGTTTGTGAGTCTTATATAATATATGTGTAAAAGTTTTTCTATTAAAACTGAGGGCAAGGGCTGGGACTGGGAGAGGAAGAAAGATGCACTGGGGGGGCGGGTCAGACTTTGTTTTGTTTATTGTGTTTGGGGGGGAAAAAATGCTGTGCTTATTCTGATCTCAGAATTGAATCAGAACTGTGTGTAATCGCCACGGTTTCTAGATCGTTTGCAAGAGAATTAATTTTACTTCACCTGCATCTCCCAACCGAACATAAAGCTATTGGGTCTCCAACCACGGCCACCAGGGATTGCGCTCTGGTGATGGCAGTGTTAAGCAGTTTGTAGTTGGACAGAAAGCCATAGTCCAAGTCCTCGGTGGAATCCTCCACTAATTGTTCTTTCCTCTTAATTGGCGTCTGCTTATGTTTACACGTGTGTCTTGTCCTCACTGTGCTGAGAAACAAAACTCTGAACTGTTTGCCTGAAAACAAACAGAAAATTTCTTGTCAATTCTTTCACGTCGGGTTACAACAGTGGAATAACCTTACCCTGCATTAGCATTGTAGAGCATGTGTACGACTGAGGAAAGCTACTCTGGACACTGGGTCCTTTACGCTGGAGTCGAGCTGGAATGAGGCGATTTTGAAAATCTTCAGAGCTGTGCCCAGACATGGGAGTGTCACAGAGTCACTGCTGCATTCAAACAGTACCAGCCATTACATCAAGGAAAGCAAATCATTCAATTGGCAAAACTACAAAGGTTTTGCATCCCCCCCCCACCATATACACACACACAAGGGGGGAAATGCTGATGGAAGTATTCTGAAGAAAGAGGTCTGAAGGAAGACAGAACTGTCACTTGCAAATATAAAACCTCACGTGAGTTTTGTTTGGGTTCTTCTGCTGGCAGCAGCTCATCAAGTTTTTCAGACACTTTTTGAAGCATATTATTAACAAAATATTTAAAATGTCTTACAGTAAACTTACTGTATAGAACAAGAGCTTTCACAACATCCTAGACGACAAACAACCCTGAACCATTTCGGTCATCTCCCTGATGCTAACTCCAGATTCCATCAAATACCACAGGTGCTCAGTACAGTACAATTGTGCTGGAGACTTGCACCTGAAGATGGGTTAGTGCAGACTTCCTCAGCCTGTTTCACACAGGATACTTACAGTGACCATATGAGGTTACCATCCCTTGAGTCTGGGTTGGTTTGAAACGAAGGTTTCAGAGGTGAAAGACAAGTGTATTAACCTGTCAGTCACAGACACATTTTATACAACCTTCACAAAGCACTGTAACAACATGTCAAGGAAATAGAATACAACCGCAGAGATGCTTTGTAGGACAGTCTCAAACCAAAGCTAATTAATAATAATTGTAACAGAAAAACGCTCAACTTTGGCATCTAAGTTGACAGGACTGTAAACAATAAGAGACCCAAGGAGATCAGGGAGACAGATGCTGAAATGTGCAGTGTACAGGTACACACATTTTACAGTACTTTTCTTCATATTATCTTATTCTGGCTACACCACAGCAGTGATGAAATGTGCCAGTATCTCCAATGTTCTAAGTTGGCATGTTCATTCTGGAAAACAGGGGCAATGTGAGCGACATGAAACTCTCTTGAAAAGCAGATGCTTCTGATCTGACCCCCAGAGAACCTGTATTACCAGCAATGCAAAGTATGGATTATTCAGTAGACAGAAGAAAATTCACTGGAGTGTTATAAATGTTCAGGTCAGAAGTAGCTTTGTTCTTCTATAGGGGGTATGATGATTCTATTTATAATGTGTATCAAGTGACTCGAGTTAACTCCAGTGAATTTTTTTCAACTAAAATCAAGACGGTGCAATTGAGTTTTAAAGATTTTCTGTATGCCTGCACTGTCTTGAAATTGTATATGAATTGTTCTTCCAATGCCTTAGCAATGAAGCATCACATGTAAGTTGTTCTTGACCTAATAATGTATCATGGGAATGTACAGTTTGCTAAGCAGTACAATGAAAAACTGCTGACCACTTTCACCTCTGTCACCTTTGCTGTCGTGAGCCTAGGTGTCAGCATTGTTAATGAACTGTGCGTGAATGTGTTCTGTAAAATTCTTTGACATTCTCAACCATGCCCTTTCCAATTGTGGGAAAAGAGGAAGTATAGCAGATGGCCTGGTGAAAATAAGATGGGCAAACAAAGGGTCTTTGTATGTAGAAGTAAGATAAGGAAACAGTATGTATGCGTGCGATAACTAGGTGGACTTATAGTCATGGTCAGAACAATGCACAGTTGTCTTTGTGATGTTGATCAGAACAAGGAAAGGTCACAAAACTTGTTTATTCATGGGTATATATAGAGGGCCAGGGAAAGAAGCAGCAGCAGCTAGCAAATAAAGATTACAAAAGAAGCAAGGACAAAAAAAAAAGATAAAGTAGAAGGAACTCCCATAACTATTAATTCTGCTCTCCGGATTAGTAACTACACCTTTCTATATCATGTACACTGCTATATAAAGGCTGTAAAATTAGTTTCCCATCTCTGCAAGCTTGATTGTCTCAGAAACCCACACAAAGAAATCCACTTTCTCAAACTGTCCTAATATCCTGGGCGGAACAACTTGGATTTATATAGCGCCCTCCACACTGGACGGCGTCTCAGAGTGCTTCACAGTAACGGATCCACAGTAACGGAACAGAAGAGACAGAACAAAAAGAAGACCCTGGAGTTGGAATGAGTTGGGAACCCACCTTGAACATTCAACACTCGCTCCACGCTGACTTCTGACAGTCTTTTCTTGCGAAGTTCTGATCGAATCCGAAACACCTGGTCAGCGTATGGCGTCACCACTCCAATGCTGCCCTCGTCCAATTTTCCCCACGCAACAGGCCATTTCTTCCTGATTTCCTCAACGCGTTCCACGATTTCAAACACCTTCACAAAGAGAGATTTTTGCAATCGTTAAAAGTATTCAATGCCTTCCAGTGCGACAAAAATCTCAATTCAAAGACATTGAGAGCTTATTTTGATTGCCTCTTTTTAGGAACTATGAAAAAAATTCAAAGTGTCCAGTGACGCTTACTTGTTTAGTTAACCCAGATATTTGGGCTGCTAATTACTCGCGTTTATTAAATGCATCTGAATATTTAAAGGTAACGTGGTATAAAAAATAACAAGATAGCCTCCAATAAATAGAGCTTCCCTGACGTATAGCCTTATCTAACAAGCCAGGTATGAAATGTGTGTACATGAGACAGCCCTGAAGTTTGCTATAAAAGCTTCCCTGATGGTTAAATCATACACAGCTGCAAAATTCCAGCAAAGTCACAAGTTTAATCTACTTTATTTAAAATACGGAAACAAATGCAAATTGAACTTGAATATCTTTTCTAGTTTCCCCCAACCACCTCAGCCATGTCATTATATAATAATAATAATCTTTGCATTTGATATAGCGCCTTATCACATCTTTGAGACGTCTCAATGCACTTCACACTGTAAAGTGAATTGACTGTATATTTTGTGTCGTGAAACGCGGCAGCCAATTGCGGACAGCAGTGTCCCACAAACAGTCCTATGCGTAGAGGAGAAAATCAGGAGCAAGCAGTTTGTTTTTAATATTAGAAGCGACGCCTGGAAAAGCTCTCCTCGCCTGTCCTGTCAATCAGAATGTTGTAGCTTCAAACCTGAGTACCGAATGGAGAATTGTCCATGCGATGCAAATTGTGATTCCCCATCGCAGGTTTATTTGAGAAGCGTAAAAGCTTCAAGCAACAGCCTGGCTCCCTCGGGCAATACACTGAGGTGAGGGGTGCGAACTGACACAAGCCATTCTCATTAGTTACAGACAACTTTCCTTTCGCTTTAGTCAATTTTTGACATTTTATTTATTGCATTCCCTTTTACTTCTAAAGGAATTCAGATGTGACAGGAACAACGCTGCAGATAGTCGTGTCTAAACTGATTTCAAGAAAGTAATTTAGAATGTATCAATTGCAAATGTGCACACATGAGCAAGAGCCAACACAGAGGCAATTGAATCTCACTTTAACAAGGAGCACATTGCTTGAAAGAATTAGGTTTACAGTAATTTACGTTGGAGGTTTCCTAAAAGATTGATTTCATAAATCCAGAGACTGCCTTTTACAGGCAAATACACACCCAATGGAAATGAATCCCCTTTGACAATCAGAACTCAGCAAGGAAACCTGAAAGGAGATTGGGCCTATGGATGGAAGCAATACAAATAAGGAATTCAACAGAAACTAATACAAATCCAGAAACCAGTGGAGTATTTTTTCTCTCACCTCTGAATTGTTGTAGAAAGCAGTGCTGTTCTTTTCTTGAACATCTTCACCTCGGGCCGTGAAGAAAGTCAGTGGATAGAAATCTTTGTGTGCTGGTTGCTTTCCACTGGCCATCAATTTACCCTCATAGAACAGTTCAGAAGTGTAACTAAAACAGAATTAAAATGGAAATGAACGTCACAATACTGTGGCCTTTCTGAAAAAGTGGTCTGAACAAGATTCTCACAGGAAATTATAATTTTTCACAAAGAGCCAATTAACCCACAATATTAGCACTGAAGTAATGGTATTTCTGCAGTCCAGATTGATGCATATCAAGTCAGATTATCACAGGATAATCTTCAATGCTCACTTTTTTTTTAAATAAAGTGACTAGGAAACTTTTATTATTGGACATTTCTCTCGAGCTGGACTGATATCGGGCTCTAACTAGTGGACTGCTATACAGGTCCAATGCTTTCATTTGTACGCCACAATTTACTGAATTCTTTCATTCACTAATCAGTAGTGATTTGTAAACCCCCACCCCCACCCCAATTGAAATGAGCGGGTGTGGACAGTTTAAAGAGAGAGCTTTGTAAAAATTCAACAGTTACGAAAAACTCCAAGGCAAGTTAGCTTCAGTACAGTAAAGGTGCAGCCATCCACAGTGCTTTGAGTGCAAGTTAATTCAGCTCCCTCAACAAGAGTCTAGCTCAACTACTGCAGCAGCATCCCAATGTCATTTGAAAGGATGTCAACTGAATTTCTTTGAGGTGGTTTGATTTCTGACTGACAGTCAAACACTTTCCATTGCTGCTATTCCTTTGCAACCAGAACTCTAACATGTTGTCCCTCTCCCAATTTTCCAGTCTTCCACCCCTGTAGGCAAGTTAACCAGCATCAAAAGTACCCGATGAACCTCACACCTACCTGATAATAGCTTCATGGGAGCGGTAGTTCTCGCACAGTAGTATTCTGCAAGGAAACTCTGAGGGGTAGTGTTCATACAGACGATCCAGCAACGAGACATGAAGGTTTCTCTCCCTGGCAAATTCACTGTACACAAAGGGACTAAGCTGAAAGTGGGAAAGCACAGCATTAGTTCCGTGTATCTGGTACTTAAACAAAAGTTGTGACTGAAATATTAAATTCCATTTTCTCCCCTTTAATGTCATTTCACAGCTTTGCCACTGACAGAGACTACTATAGCTTTGGCAGCAATGATGATGAAAAGCAGTGAAGGCAGAGAGACCCATCTCATGACAATTTTACATCTGGGTTTGCCCACAGAAGCACACCCATCACCAACCTGCTGCGAAAAGGAGCTGATGGAACCATCAATGCGCCCAGGAAGTAGTGGGAATAACATTAACAACTTGCATTTATATAGCGCCCTTCACGCACGGTAGCGTCCTGGAGTATAATCAAACCTTGACGGCTTGTTACTTGGCCGAGTAATGGAGAACAGTTGAAGGTTTTTAAAGAAAGTCATTCGATTTGATTGGACTAGTGTGACTGCCATAAATTTAGTACATTTCTAGCATATTCATAGTGGGTGTGATGACAGATTCAATGGGCAGGTTTATTTTGGGGGCATTTCCATCAAAGAAATAAAAATCTGACAGGTGCATTTAATTAAAGAAAAAGCCAAAATACAAGTCCTTTTTAAAAAGTGTTTCCATTAAGTACAATCAATAAAATTTTATTCTGGTAATAAAATTACAGAAACGTTTGTTTAAGTCAGGTGCCTTATAACAAAGTACCATCTGCTGACTTGCCTCAGTAAACTGAATGACTTTCTACCAGCCCAGAAAATGGCTACTTTGAGAAGTACTGAGGTAGTGGCATTCCTTTTGTAGCTTGCATAGATCAAAAAATAATCTTCAATGAGAGGATCTTGCACGGTTCAGTCTGCACTTGTTTAAAAAAGGCACTTGATCAAAAGGAGACGACATTAATACTGCAAAAGCTCATTTTCCCAGTTGCATTAGCATCGAGAATCAGTGACAGCGAAGGTGACATTAAAAACCAATATATGGTGAACACGAGCTGTCATTTTGGATTAGCAGGAGCAAGTGACTGTGCAAAGATTCCACAAAATAATAAAACACGGGCATTCAAATGTTGGAATCCGGAAGGGGCGGCCACCAAAAAGACAACCACCTTCGACGAGAAAACCAAAAAAAAACGTATTTAATGGCAAATCCCCAAGACGTCAAAAAGAGGTTGCCAAAAAGTAGCAACCATGCCCTGTCCAAACCCAACTTTCTTTCCTTTGCCATTCGAGACACGCATTTTGCGCTCTATACAAGAATGTAGATCGACCATAGGCTTCTTTTCTCCAAAGCCAATGTAACTCGGAAGCCCAGCCCATGGAAGCAGAAGCACAGGTCAAAGATGCTACCAACTGAGTCTCTTTCTCTCAAGTACGGTGTTCCCTTTCTGCTCTGTGCCGTGCTCACCAGCCCGGCAAACAACAATTCTATATCCACAAAAAGCTGCAGCCTGAATGCCCGCGCTTGGTTCAAGTTGGAGGATGAGAATTCGCACTGCCAGCTTTTCAAAACTTAAGTTTCTCAAGTTCAGAGAGCTTTGCTGTGAAATTTCACAAAACTGCAAATGAAAGTCTCAAGCATCTTTCAAATGCTGCTTGGAAAAAAATTCAAAAATTCACGATAAATGTTTTATGCGGTTTAAAACGTTTCTGCTCTACCTATTAGAAATATCTTTTATGACACATCAACTGCAAGCATGTACCAGAAATAAATTTTTCAAGAGTTAAGTTCCATTAAAAGCTCAACTTAAAATCCCAATTTCCTATTTCGACGAGAGCTGGTCAGACAAGAGTGCAAAACGCAAGCCTTGTTGATTCAGCAATGCTTATGGTCGCCAGCGACGCTCCCCAACAAACCTTGGCTACAATTGGCAATCTACCACAGAATCCATTCAAGACTTGCATTCCGCAACAGTTTGTACACTGTCACTGTTGTACACATTGACAATGGTGCATTTGAAAGATGGCATGGTTCTGTATAACGTTTTCTGTTCCACATCTGATGTTGGGACTTGAGCTCACTTCAAATGTAGGTCTAGGGAGAGTGCTGCAATGTGAGAGATGCCACCCTTCGGATGAAGCTTTAAACTGAGATCTAGTCTTCCTCTTCAGGTGGACGTTAAAAGAACTCCTGCTACAATTCAAAAAGATAAAGTGCCCTGGTCTATAATCTTCGAGATAAAATTCTTTGCTGTGGGCAAATTAGCTGTGGCATTCACCAATAAATTCACAGTCCCAACTCTCTTCACAGGCTGCAAAATACTCTGAGATGTTTCGATGACATAATACCAAATGCAAGGATTATTATTTATCAAAATTTTTGTGTTGATTCAAGACAGACATCTCTAAAGTTCTGTCTGGCCTTTGGGGGGAAGAAGGGAGAGAAGGACAAGAAAGGGAACAACAAAGAGGACAAGAAAAGCGCCAAATGGAATAAGTATGAAATATTGCAGGCTGAGAACTTTTCAGCATGGTATTTTATTACCAGCTGCACAGCAGTACAATGGATTGCTTCCTACTGGGAATACTTTACAGAATTGGGAGAAAGAAAAAAAGTAGATAACCCATTTCTTCCCCTTCCTCTCCTAAAAAAAGTCTTATGAAGCACTGTGATGCACATTTCAGGCTTGCAAGCCAGAAATTCCCAGCTGCAAAGCCAGCAGGAGGTTGAAAAGTAATGTTGGCAGAAATGGGAGTTGGCATATTTCACAAAGAAGACATTCTCAGACGTGTACTGTCCACACAAACACTGGCACATCCCCACCACATTTCTGAACATGCCCCAAAAAAACTTGATTGAGAGACTCCTGGCAGACTCACAGCTCTAACACCAAATCCAATGAATAAATAAGAATCCTTACATTTGATAAAGCGTCTATATCATTGAATTGTCTCAAATTGCTTCACAGGTAATTGCTGTAATCTGTAATAACTGTGTTTGGAGGCGAATGTGCTAGCCAATTTGCGCACAACAATGTCGCAGAAACAATCGAGAGGTGAATGACAAATTTAAGTGGAAAATTGTTGTCTGGGACACCAGAAGATTGCCAGGACCAGACATAACACTGCCACTGACATAAGGATTCAGCCCTGTCTGTCAAAAACCTGCAGCCACCAGTAGGTTTTAATGCAAAAAAACTTTCTAGATTTCAGCTTTAGTTTACATAGTGCAGGTTAATTTTAGGGAACAATAATCTCTTTAGTTGAAGTTACAGTCCAGCTGTTTCTGGAGACTGTTCCAAAATTGCAGTTCCGGCAATGTTAGAGAAGGCCAATGGAATAAAATCAGATTGTTGTTCTCGCGAGCGTTGTGCGTCAAATAACTAGTTAATGATTTTAATTATTGCACACAAGCTCTTCTATGTAAGGTACTTATTGACGGAGGAGGTAGAAGGGGTTAGGAAGAGTTCAGCTATGAGCATAGAAATGACATCAAAACAACCCATTCAAAGCACATCAAAGCTGGATAAATATCAAGATTTTCTGGCTTTTAAGGCCACTTGCTACAAGTAAAACAGTGGCCCGTTCAGCGGATATGCTGTGTATTTGTTATCTCCATTTAAAAAGGGCAGTCAAATCAAGATGGAACATCTGCCAAAATGTTGTGGTTGCCCAGATCGCAAAATAATGCATCATTGTGACCTTCCATTGCAGCCAATAGTGGATTCCACTGAGCTAAAAATACAAAATCAAAAGCCTTGTGGGATATCACAACCAGTTCATAATAGTGTCTAATATATGGTGTCTGCTATTCGTAGCAAATATTTTGTTGTGTGGGGACGCTACCCTGCGTAAATGCAAGATGCAAGTTGTGTGTTCCAAAGGGTGTGACTCACTACCATCGCATGTAAAACAAATTGCTGCAGTAAACAAACACCGCAATGCACCCCAACATATAGTACAATACAATACAAAATTACATTTATATAGCATCTTTCACATCCGGAGGACGTCCCAAGGCGCTGGACAGTCAGGGTTTCGGACCCGAGCAGGTGGGGGGATCAGGGAGGGTAGAGGTCGGAGGGTGGCCAAAGGCATGGTCGAAGAGGAGGGTCTTGGGACGTGCCTTGAAGGAGGCACGGGAGTGAGCGAGACGAAAGGAATGCGGGATGTAGTTCCAAAGCGTGGAGGCAAAGAAATGGCTTCTGGCTGTAATACAAAACAGGATTTAGAAGCACTCACCTGCATATGATCCCCAGCTAAAACAATTCTTGTGTTCTTACTGGCAAGAGCCAAAGGCATAATGGTCTCACATTCCATTGCTTGAGCGGCTTCATCCAAAAGTATATGAGTGAATAAACCTGGGAACAAAGAATATGCAAAACAAGAAAGGTTATTGAAGTATTAAATCCATTTTTTGCTGTACTTTAAAATTTCCACTGTTTACTAAATTAATTCTGGAAATGTACAAACGCTTTTGGAGGGCATGAGATTTTTGTTCAGATACAATATAAATCCTTGCATTTTGTAAAATGTCATATCATGTTGAAGTGGCTCAAACCTCTAACTCGAATTCCAGTTATAAAGAATATTAATAGGCTCATGTTTTGATTTAGGTTTTAATCCTACAAAACTATCTTCTACCACAGAAGTCCTCCGCACGTTACAGTTCATTCTCTCACAGGTGATATGCTGGCTGCTCTAATGCTATCCTGCTATAACTGATGGAAAGGTGTGCAAGAGTCCGGGGAGAGGATTCGTTCATTAGGAAAATGCCTGGCTTCGTTTCGGCATGTATGAGATCCAGAACTGCTGCCCATGAAACCACATGCTCAGCAATAATACGTCTCGGGGATGTAAAAGCCTGTTTCTTTTGAGGTCTGGCCAACAATTCAAGACTTTTTAAACTTTTGTTTCAAATAAAAGTATCAACAGTGCCAATATGCTAGAAATACCATTCATCATGTTGCATTTGAAAAGGTTAAAGTCAATATGACCACGATGTATCAGGAATAAAATGCATCAATGCTGCCCCCTAGCATAAATGCTTGAAAACTGAGAAGCCCCTGACAATGCTCACACATTTTAAAAGGTTCTAACAACGTGTGTTAAAATAAGTTGATCCTTCAGGAGATTTGAAACCCCTGATATTTATAGTTATTTAACAGAATAAAGGGGATACAAGGGTGCACTGGCCCCCTTTACACGTCCCAGTAATTCCACATGTAAACCGCACTAGACCCTCGTTTCAGAGTTGAATACAATCAATAATAATCCTTGCATTTGATATTGCTCCTCATCACATCTCAACGATGCTATATAAGGCACTATATCAAATGCAAGGATTATTATCATTATTTACTACGTCTTGACCTTGGTGAGACCTTGGTAAAATATGAGAATCAGTGCACAAAACTGGAAGGACCTCAAAAGATAACAAATTAGCAAAAAAGAGCTAAATTAATGGGGCTTTTCAATCTCAAACTTCATCATTCAGCCTGCTGTGTTCATCATTATGTGCTGTCCATTTTTCTTATATTAGCATATCTAATTGGTTGAGGAAGACAGTTAGTGTTGATCACTGACAAGCATTCTGATGAATGTGCTTTTTTTTTGTACGATTAGTCCAAGATGGTGAATTTACCTATGCTGTCTTTGTATTGCAGCATTAAGCTTTGTAACTACATAAAGCTGCTTCCATACACTTTGGGTTTTATAATCTTCTTTGGCTCAAACCTGCTTAAGTGTAAGAAAATTACCCTTCAATGGTATTAAACTCTTATTAGATCAATGTGAAATTAAAGTAAATATTTTGATCGACTCTAGCTCAGCTGTAAAACTCACTGCTTTCTCCTAGTTAATAATGGAGCAATTTAATGTGGCTGCCCTGTGATAGGCACTGTGAAGTGACCCTTAGCTTTATCCAATGGTTTTGTACCTGCTTGAAAGCAATGCAAAATATATTCTCATTATTTAGCCAGCTTGTTTAGCGATAGCGCACTTCGGGTACACATCCTTTGAGAGGCAAACACCTGCCAAAGCTTTCACGATGACCCAGTTTCGCCAATAAAATAGAGCAAGGCACTTTTATCATCTGTATATTGGAATCTGTACTCCACTTCCAGCTCACGAGGAAGCAGACAAACAGATGGAATTCAAAACCCATTTAACAAGTGCCCTCCTGCTGAATAAAGCACATCTCGCAGCTCACAGACAGCTGAGCTGAATGCAATATAAGAAATTTAATTTAGAATATGAAATGGGAATGTGTAGGTTAACTGAGCACAGGTTCAAATCCCACAGAAGCCCATCAAATTGGATTCATTTCTACACACCTTTCATGAGAAGGATACAAGAAGACCCCAGTGAACCACCACCAAATAGCCAAACTACCAACCCTTTTAGCTAGTTACAGGATTTGTCTGACAATGAACAACCAGTTTCTTCCCCTTTGCACTCTACACTTCACCGAACTTTGTTGTGGAAAAAACAAAATATGGGTTGTAAGCAATTCCTACAAGGTGAAGAATTGAAACAGTGAAGAGTGTGTGCATTACTGTCAGGAGGAAAAGAATCGCTGAGCCAGCCCAGGTTAGATGACTTTTCAGACTAGACGCAAGTAAAGTGCCATGGACTCACAATTCTTCCCAAAAGCTAGGTTATCAACATCTGTTAAACAGGTTGTTCCCTTGGTTGATTCACACATTGGCAATTTAGGTTTAATCCTGTAGAGGTAGCTGAACAAGGAAGAATTACTTTTCTGTTAAACAAGACAGCATCCACTAGAGACCAAAGTATACCGTTAACACTGCTTGGTTTAATAAGCCTAACACTGCCATAATGAAATTTGTTCTATCACAGCAATTAAAGTCTGAATAATAGGTTTGATTCCCACTGAATTGAAACTGCACACTCATTACAAAGGCAAATACCAGTCTGTTTACAGGGGAACACTGTTGTTAGAGTGCACAGGAGACCAACCTCATTTGGAAAGACCACTGTGACAGCCACATTTTTTGGCCTTTTCAGAAACATGCAAAGTGGGTTACAGTAAGAACTTGGGAGGAAAACAACAAAGAAAACTCCACCAACTTCCTTTGTTATGCAAAATGATGAAATTCAGGCTTTTCCTTTGTTTTTTCCTACATGTAGTAATGAAGATCAATCACATTAAACTCAGTGGTGCAGACATTAATCTACAGTAGGTAGTGCTCGCTAACGAGCATCCTAAAATCCTCTTGATGTCAGTATATAAATTTCCAATATTGGAAATTAATTGCTAGTGGGTAAGTTAGCATTATGTTAACTTGTCAACTGATCAATTCTCAAAACGGAGATCCCACCTAATAATTAATATGTATTTGGAGTTTGTGGCTGATAGCACAGCTGTGACATCAAAGCAGCAGCTCTGTGGAGGTCAGTACAGTAGTAGCAATAGTCAAATTTGGCGATTCCCAGCCCAACACCAATGGTGCAGCTACTTCGACTTGCAACGTGTAGATGGAAACAGCCACAATCTAAGTAAAGTGAGAAACTAATGTGCACTTTTCAGTACAGGCATTAGTAAGTAATAACTGAACAAGGTCTATGCCACACGTGCATTCTTGTAATTTAAACTGTAATCCAAATACATTAACTGAGCCCCTTAATAATGCTTTACGAATTATAGAAGCACAAGAGTCACGGCTCCGCACATGCTCTGTTCAGGTGCTTTTGAAATAACCCCCCTCCCCGATCACAATGTGATGAGGATCAGGAGGCATACAGCAGCCTTTCTGCTTCCAGAGATGTAACATTGGCATTCTTAATAAAGAGCAGGAAAATTCCTTTGATTGAAGCGAAGGGTTGGTTAATTGAACCCATCTGCTCTTACCGAGCAATCGCAGACAGATAAAAGATGCCCTCCTGACACTGCCCTGCATTTTGGCATTGCTGGAGAACATTACGATCAGTGTGATTTGGAATCCTGTCAAAAAGAACAGCTCGTGACAAATGACTCCGTTGTAGACAGGTTATCATCTGCAATCCAGTCAGGATTCTCCTCCTGAGGTTTCATTTGCAGACGCGATTCGGGCCATTAGGTAATATATGAGTTGTACCAATAAAGCAAGAGAACATGCAATGTTGGATGAAGCTTTTAACAAGAGCTGCAGAGCAACAACTCAAATTTGCACTTCTCTCGATGGAAGGAACCAATAGCAGAAGCAAAAAAAAATTGTTTAACGTATACCGAGAATGCAAAAAATCATCACTGTCTCAAGTTCTCGTTTCTCTAACACTTAGGCAACACTGGAGCAACGGGATATCATCAATACATACAAGAGAATCTGTTGTGCTCAGCAATACATTGATATCAATTCCTCTGGATGGCTCTTTCTTTTTTTACTGCTGAAATTCCAATGATACACTCACCTACTTCAAGGTCTAACTGGCAAAGATATTGCGATGTACTAAGAGTTACAACCACCACTCGATGTTTCAAAATATCCTCTTTCTGTGGCATCTGGAAGGTGGAATGTGTGTTTGATATCAAACAGTACTGCTGCACGACCGGATGTACAGTCTTCACCCACCGATTTCTGAAATACACCCTGCAATTGACAAAGAAACTACTTCAGAAGATGGTCAGTGCCATGCATAACACTTATCTAACACCTTTACAGTTGTACCTGTTTCATAGGAGCTGGCTTTATTTTCTAGTTATCACTGACAGACCATAATTGGCTTTGATCAGCCAGGTGTTACACAGACCAACACACAAAAAAATCAGACAGAGCTCCACATTCCCTGTGTCTAGACGGAATGTAAACTCTCTCCCTGGAAGGATGCACCTAAATCCACAGATTATTGGAGAGAACTAGCTAGGTTGGCTTGTCAGCAGGACTTGGGAATGGTAGATCTGCCCCAAAGAAAACATTCAACATTCTCTCTCCAAAGCGAAGTTAAGCGAAAGGAGTTGAGCCCAATGCTGATGCTTATTGAGCACAAACATATAAGGGTGAAACCAATTAAATGCACAGATATTCCCTGGGACACAGATTATAATCACTATTCATCACAATGGACAAAATTCCTACCTGAGAGGCCTGGCCTGTGGATTTCCTGCTTCTACATAAGGATGGAGATAATCTTTTATATATAAATCAGCAGCACTGTTGGAATGGGTGCAGATGAGAATCCTGCAATAAAAACAATGTTCAAGGACAAACTTAAAAATAAAACATATCCGACAAGGTAAAGTGAAAGAACAGCAGTAATAACTCAAAGTGTCTGAATAAATGGGCGCGTTCAGTGTATGGACTTAGCTAAATCGATTGTTACTTCCCTTAGTCAGTGCAGATTTAAAAAAAGGTATTTTATGCTTCTATTCATTCAATGGTTTTCTTGAGAATAAAGTGCCAAAGGTTTGATGGAGCTGTGACATTTCCAGCAGTGGCTCAGTGTAGCACAGCAGGACTGTAGTACAGTGAAAGATATTGAAATGTGCAACAAGACTGCCACACATCTCTTGTCTTTCACTGCACCAACAATCTTCAATATCTTTGTTTGTCTGTTGTATTTGATTCTACCCATTCTCTCTCTCCTCTGTGTTGGTGTCCTTGTCTGGTTCCTTGTTAATGGCCATCTTTCTCCCAATTACAATTCTCCCCCCTTTCCCAATCAGATCTGGCTGGCCCTAATCCTAGGTGATGATGCGAATACTGTAAAAGAATGATCATCTCTCCCCCAATTTCCAATCTTCCATTCACTATCTCCTGGCTGTTTCCTCATCCTGGGTTTTCATATTACTTCCGCCATCCCCTTGAGCTCAGAATTATTCCCATTCTTCATTCCATCCTTTCATTTCTCCCATATGGGGCTCCAAAACAAAGCCTAGGCTCAAGGTCTGACTGAACCACAACACCCCTATTGTGTTGTGAGCCACCCCAATTCCTGGCATAAACTGAACTGTGAGAAAGAAGTTATCTTTTCCGTCTATAAAACACCCGTGCTTGGTTTTATACTGTGTACACATTAAGATGCAGCACACCATAGCATATAAACCTCTCATTTCACTGTCCCAGGTCACTGAATTTCCTGTAAATCACTGAAACCTAGTGTAAAGTCTAGTCATTGTCAGGAGATTATGGACCCACAACAGAAACTGCGTATACTGCAAATCTATGCGATAGCAACAGTATTAACTGCAGCTAAAAGGAACCTTTCTTAATAACTTAAGCGTAACATTAGAAAAGCATCTGGTAGAAAAATGTACTGTAAAATCCTCAATCAGCACAAGACCAACAAAACCAGCAATTGGGCAGCAACAGCACAGATATAATCACCACAGACTGGAGAAAAGACAGATTCTGCATAGAAATAGTTTCATCATAAATATTGATGGTGAATCAAAAACTCCACATCAGCCAAACCCACCAACATAAACAGTCACAAGACTAAGGCTCGGTTCTCTCTGACTTTGTAATGGAAACATTAATACTTTGATTTTACTGCCAATTATTAAAGAGCAACAAATACAATCAAAACATCCTAAACCAACTGGGATTCAGTCTTCTCTCCTAAATTATACTCCCAATGTGGCAATAGAAATTATGGATAAACTCAAATCAGAGTGCCAGATCGAGATGGGAAGATTCACTACAAAATTTGGAGGAGGAAGAGGTTCAATATCAGTCAGTAAATTACACTGATGCACATTTGTGCTCAAGCTGTTACTGGTTGCTATGGCTTTTGTTAGGAATCGTTGGTGGTAGAGACAAGAAGCAAGGCTGAACCACATGAATAGTGTTAAATATAGTACAGAGCATTATCAATGTACCTCTCTGTGATGTGTCTAAAGATCCAAAACAACCTGAACAGACGTAAATATCTTTGAAACCATACAAGTGGTCACTGTGTAGTAGTCCTTCGAGGGCTATTTTAGTGAAGTTGGAAAGTAGTTTGCTTTACATTTACACTTAGGGCCAAATACTGGAGATGCATTTCGGAGCAGCAGGATGTGCTAATTCTTATTGGTGACCCAATCCCTTTATTCACCAGCACTAAGTTAAAAGCAAAACTATGGAGGAGATTATGGTTGCCGACAGCTTGCAATTTTTAACAAATTTATATTTTTAGATGAACAGGATGTGATCTGATAATGAAACAATACACAGCACTTGCATCTGCTATAACAACTGATCACATCATAAAGTCTCAAAGCACTTCACACACTGAATTGCTTTGAGGTGTGGAAACTGCAGCAGCTAATCTGCTCCAGCAGCAATGAGACGAATGATCAAATGTAATCTTTTCTGGGGGTTGAATTGAGAGGCGGCCTCAAGACAATTCCCTGCCCTTTGAAATATGGGCCGGGAATAACCTGTCAGAATCTCAGTCTCATCCCAGTGAACACCACCTCTGTCAAAGCGAAGCTCCCGTAGTCAAACACTAATGATGCACTCAGCTAAACTGTGAACGAACAGAGTGCTTCTTTTTTTGAATATATACTCTTCATCCTCCATTAAAGAAACGGGGAGGGGATGGGAGGAGAGAAATTAACAGCCAAATGAACCTGTAAACTGCCCAGGTTGGATTCCATCTAAATTTGGCGGAGTGACAGACTGGTTAGTGACCCTGTGATGACTTGACTCTTGCACAATAACTGAGAAACTGGGTCAGGCTACAGATGGCAGAAATGCACAACTGCAGTTTTCTCCACCCACCCATATTTTAAACAGCAGCCCTGGCAGGGTGCTGGGCTGTTCGGGAATATATTAATCTGCTGGAGTAANTTTTTTTTAAATTACCGGAAATGTTTTCAGTTCAATTGGAAACAATTAGAATTCTGTGGGGAAATAAAATCTCAGTGCACAGTGAAAAAACATTTTCCGAATGTTAAAGGTAAACCCAGAATTTAAAAAGTCGCCTTTAAATAAATGTCAGCTAGAACAACTGGCATCGAACATTTTACACATGAAGAAACGCAGAGTACAGGCAGAGGATTTGAAGCCATCCATCCATTCACAGAATAATAATAATAATCCTTGCATTTGACATGCCTTTCACGTTGTCAAGATGTCTCAAAGCCCTTCACAGAATATATGGCAAAGTGAATTGACAGCTTATTTTGTGAAACAAGAGCACCGAAAGAGGTTACAGTTGAGATACAGGGTTTAGAGCAATAAAGGTGGGGGAATGGAAGGGGGTGAGAGCAACTGTCAGTTAATCAAGCAAAAAGAAAGCGAAAGCAAAACTTCAACGGAACTAATCCAAAAATCTGATTATTCCTATCTAAACCAGTATAATTAATACCAAGAAATTGTTTATTTTCAAAACGAATTGTGCACAACACATCAGCACACTGATACAGCAAAAATACAACAGCACGCCATTCTTGCTGAACCAAAAGCTGCCGCAAGCTCACCTCATTTCCTGCTGTTTGAGGATGTGCTTGACTGCTTGAGCCAGTGTGAACGTTTTGCCTGTTCCATAGGGCCCGATGATGAGGACAGGGGGGAGCGGGATGGAAAGTGGGGTTGTGATGGCCAGAATGGCCTCCTTCTGTTTAGCATTTAGCCGGGGGTCCAACTGCTCATCCCACTGTCTGCTCCAACACAGAAAAGAATAAACAGCCATTTGCAATGAATGAAGACCCTCAACAACAAGCAAACAAACACAATCGTCCCCCAACAAACAGGTTTACAAAATGACTCAAATTACAGGAAATTGTGCAGAAGTGGTCCCTCCACCCAAAAAAATGTTTCAAAGTAAGAAAATGGAGCACGAGAAACCCAGATTAGTCTGTCCTCCTATTTTATGAGCACTGATTTTGTATATTTTTCCCGAAAAGTACAGGGCGACATTAACCACATCAGCCTAGAAATCTCCTCAACCTCAGGAAGCCCACAAGCTGGATTCAAAGGTGGTAAAGGTTTCATGTTTCACTGTGATTGGGAGACAAATGACAACAAAATGAGTTCCTGGCAAGGACTCCATTTTAAAATTATATTTCAAACCTTTTTAATTAAAAAGGGGTCATTTGTTATTACACTACCGAATTCAGTGTAACCCAGCACGTAAATCACAAGGTATCGTTGTATAATTAAATGGGGTCAACTCCTTTACACTGCAAGGAATGGGGTGTTGATCACTCCATGTTTATCATAATAATTCAACTGAGTCTAAACTAATACTGGGGAGGTTCCTTCAAGTGGACTGAGAGAAACGATATGCAAGATTCTGGTTAAAACTTTTAATAACTCCTCTTGAAATATACATACGTGATATGTGGGGAAAAGGCGGGTTTTCCATCAAAAAAATCTGCTGCGTTTAATTGCATTCTTGAATGTATCAAAGAATCAAACCAGGCTCCAGACATGCTTGATGAGTGCATTGTTCTAAAATATTTTCGTGAAGGCAATTAGTCGCATATAAAATATAGATTTTTTGAGAAAAACAGTTTAAACAGTTCAAAAATATATAAGTCAATTAGTCGCATGCTACTAATTTCACTTGAACCATTAATCGCAAATCAACAGTGTCTTCACTTGACATTTGCTGCAGCTTAATGAATATGCATGAACGCAAATGATTTCAACCTACTTTTCTCTCTGGTGGAACAGCCAATTCAACTTCAACATTCTGAAACGACTGCTGAAGGAGGGGTAGAAAACGTACCCAATTTTATACACCAGCTTTAAACAAAGCCATCTGTGGTGTGAGCTGCAAATCTGATGCAATATTAATGCCACATTCACAAGTGCCATGGCATTGGCACACTGTACCTGATGGGGCTCCAGGGGATGGTGGGGAACATGCAGACATCTGGGAAGAGAATGCTGTTGTCCTTGATTCTGTCCAGGGCATAATGCATTTCACATAGCGGTAAGCGATTGAGTTGAAACTGAAGTTCAACCTATAAATGAACAAGTTTTATTGGTTAATTAAACATCCTCTTAAAATCAAGCTCAGTGAAAAGATGCCTCTTGTCGTTTTCAGTACATAAACAGTTTCTTTACTGGGATGAACTGATGCACTTCATTCCTGACAGATATTATCTGTTTACCCACACAACACAGTATTTCAGAGAAACTTCTGCGTCACAGCACTGCTTCAAGCATTGGCTCGGCAAGCTGGGTTTCCACCTTCTCATTCTTGAGACCGACTGCCCCATTTACAGAGTAAGATAGTCATCATAGGTGAAGTGCTCGATAAATTCTAGGATAAGATCAAATGGGGCAAAGGGCCTTCTTCAACAATAAGTTACAGTTGTACAGTGTCTTTCATAATGGGGGGGATGTCCTAAGGTGTTGAGTCAAAACTGAGCACTTTTGTTTGTTCATAAGTCAGTTTATAATTCTTTTTCTAGGGACCATTTAGTGAAAGGATGGAGGGAGAATGAGAGAAAGGCGACCGAGGTAGAAGTAGGACAGGCTTAAACTTAGTAGAACACTGACGTCATGTTTTACAATGTTTAATGACCTTGTGTCTGTTTTATGGAATGATTTGTAACTTATCCAATTGGTCTGAAAATAAATTCATAAGGTGCAAAAGTTGTGAAAAAAAATCTGATAAGCTAATAAAGCTGAGGAAGAGGTTGTACACAAAGTATGTGCACTACTCAGTAGCTCCATCCAGATGATTAACGTGCAAAATCAATCCAGGCATTTTGCAGCAAATGTGAATCGCAAATTGTTGTCAGACTTCATCAAAGGGAGATCAACAACACGGAACTGGGTCGGTAATCACACACAGGGGAGACCAAGCTGTTTGTAAGGTCTCTGGACTGAAGATTTACAGCCTTCAATTGTTTGAGGGCTTCCACCGGGTTGCAAAGCACAAGAAAGTGTCATTTTTACAGATTGCGGTCATTTCCATCCTCCCAAAACCAATTTCCTTCAGGACACAAAGTATTCGTCGTTAATTGAAAGAGGAATGGGGTTTGCAAATCCTGCACGAGTTACACCTCTTAAGGTACCTCATCACAAACAAGTCATCTACTGCATCATTTACTCAGTACAGAATCCTACAGTACATCACAATCTGCAGCTTTCTGACAGCCCAGGTGAACCAATACTCCTAGGTTTTGTCCCCGCTCTAGGGGAGTTATAGATAATTATAACACCTCAACTGCTGCCCCAGCTGAAATCAACATACTCAGCTCAGGCTGGTCTGTATGCTTTACACTAACTGGGCCAGTAGTGTTACTCACTGAAAGTGCAGACTCTAGGATGAAAAATTGGAAGACATTCTCCACCTTATAGACACCTATTGCAAACTTGAATCTGCTATTATTCCAGACAGCAGCCACACCTTGTACAATCAAACAACAATGCACATATCTATTTGATGCGTATGCACACCAAGTGGAAGTGGAAAGCAAATAGAGATGGCGGGGAGTCTGAACATTACCTGCATTTCTCGATCAGCTCGTAGTTTCAGCTCCTCACAGCATTCCTTCGTCAACCTCAAATAGATACATTCCTTTGTTTTCTCCTCAATCATGGCTTCATAGACCTTCTCTTTGGTTCCTTGGACCTGCGCGGACTTCTCTTTAGTTATTGGCAACAGCAGAACAGAATTAACTTTGGTCATTACCAATCGTCCAGCCAAAGTCTCTTCCGAAAGAGTCTCCGTTAGCTTGAAGCGAGCAAAAAGCTGTCCACTCTGAGCATATTTAGCACCGCCTGCAACACCAGTTAGCATGAAGTTTGCTACCAGATATAAATTTACTTTTATGTTGAACCTGCAAATTTAAAAAGAAAGTCAATAATAAAAAGTCAATAATGTTCAATTTCTATAAATGTTCAACAACTAAATCAGATCAAACACCCATACACTACCCCATAATGTACTCATAAGGGAATGCAGGGTGGTATAAGACATTCTGTACAAGCTTTACATCCACGTTAGTGGCAATTATTACAAAGATTTAAAAATACCCAGCAGGATACTGAGCCGAACGATAATTCTCTGGGACAGTTAGATTTTAAAGACACATCCATGGTTAAAAACAAGTATTCGTTTAAAAGACAGTTCATCCAATATTGATTTCCTACTACAAGAGTCGAGAAGTGACTTTGCACACACTGGACAGTAAAGTACTGAGTGCAGTTACTGAAGAGCCTCTTAAAGCTATGAAGGAAAAGGCTTCACTCAACACTGCAACCATTATCAACAGTGACAGAAAACAGGGAATTACCATGGCCTGAAATTATAATGAAATATGCTTTGTGGAATTTTATTTATTATGAACCAAATAACAACTGTCCAATGATAGACTAACTGGTGAGTCACATGAAGCAGGAAGGTTCCTCCCTGATCTCATCTTGGATCGTGATTAGTCACTGCATTCGCAGGTTAGGGTGGGAGCAGTCGTCCCGGACTCCCAGAAAGTGTTGCAGAGAGGCATCAGAAAGGGTACATTGATGGCCGTCAGCTTTGGGCTCATCTGTGATACATCCTCCCCAACAATCCACTCACGGCCAAAACTCAGATGTGAAGCACTCCCAATCAACAACGAATTGGCTGTTCGTTAAATAATTAAAGAGCACCTGTAATTCCCTGCCACACACAGCATGTAATAAACCTCGATGTCAATTGTGTTTTCCTACAACTAAATGAACAGAATTGTATATGATCACAAATATTTTGCATTAGATTTCACCAGTTGGTGGTGATTCAAGGTGTTATTACGCCACCTACTGGCATTATACTGTCTAAACGAAACGACTTAGTAGAGGACACATCCCAACATGAATTGACTCAATATTTTAATGTCTTAATTTTCATCGCTACAATAAAAGGCCCAAGCAGAACCTGACTGTACTGGTTTATACCTTGTGTGGGGCATACACCTTGGCTGGACCTGTAAACTGCTCACTCCTAACCTCAAACTTTGGGACGTCCTCCCAACATGAAAGGTGCTATTTAAATGTCAATTGTATGGTATCGAAAACTTAGTTTGCACTCTTTTTAATGTTACTTAAACACACACTTTATTCCACCGTTTATTTTTTGGTTTCGGGTCACTCGATTAGATCACTACAACCCTCTCTCTGTAGCCTCCCATTAATCCCACGCTAAATGCTGGCAGAATCAGCAAAAGTAAATGAAATTATACGGTTTATGCTACAGTTCGTGTTAGATTTGTACATTAAGGACTAGTTTTACAGAACCACTCATTTAAACTGACTTCAGTTTTTTCTGTGCTAAACTTTACTATCACTTGCCGACTTTAGATATCTGCACACACAATGGTGAGCTAGATAGAGCCTCTAAAGGAAGAGTTACTCAACTGTACAACACAAATGATTATTGAAAACCATGTGTGAAAATTGGCAGGTGATTTACAGTCACATGGTTGAATAGTACCTTCCTCTTCAACTGTGCTTACAGCTAGTTTCCCCCCATCGGCTTGAAGTCAGGCTTTGCCACTGTTAAGCGCTCTGAGGTACTACCCTGTATGGAGGGCACACTGTACGTGCAAGTTGTTGTTGTTGATCTTGCAACCACTTAAGTGGCAAATTTGACCTCAGGCACACTCTGACCATAATCACTCAACCAACTTTCAAATACTCTCTCTCTCTGCTGCACTAAGAATGTTTTAGATCATTGAACGGCTTAGGCGTGGATCCAAGAACTGATGTGAAAATTTTTTTTCTAAAATAGAGCATTGTATTGCCAATGAAAAATAAAACGCATGTTAGCTGGTGGATGATGAATATGGTAACCGTAAACACAACAATTTATAGCAACTGTTGCTAGATCCATTGTGAACCTTACACCTCGATCTCCTTTACATCCTCCTTTCTCAGCTCTAGCAAGTCTACTCACTACATTATTCAACTGCATTATTTTGCATTCTACCGATGCAGAGCATATTCTCTGCTCAATTTACCACTGGTCATCTGTACATCATTTCAGCTGCAATACTGGGTCACCAATTCACTACCATTAATGATTTATGGATTAACTGACTCAACTCACAAGCTTATTACACCATACTTGTCTTGGGAGTGTATGAACCTCAAACTAAGTGTGCTGATTGCAAACCAACAGGCTGGTCAAAATAATCCTAGATCTGAAATGTTTGGGTTTTCATGTACCAGCAAGTTCAATATTATTCAGTTGATACCAGAGTTTTACATAGACTTAAAACAGCTTNAAAAAGCAGCTGTAGAAGTCCCCGATAAATGAGCCATGTAAATACAAGCTTGGAGAGTCCCACGTGAGCCATATTACAGTGATCAGATTTCAGACACGGATTAAACCTGGGAAATACCCGGTCTGAGGTCATAGTGTTGCGTGTGTGTGGGGGTAAGAGGAAATTTTGTAAATGCCTTCTGTGTCCCTTTCTTGGGAAGAAATAAATTGAGCAACTTGTAGACTGTGCATCCTAAAGGAAGTCCTAATGAGGGAGGAGCGATTTTTAAATTTTGGATATCCATCAATAGGAAAAAAAGCTACAGCATAGCAGGTATTAAAAAGCTTCTTCATCTACACTGCACATCCGATTCTCATAATGAAACTCAATGGCCACAATTATTCCATTGACAATTATTCTATTGGACAAATTACCACAATTATTTGAAACGCATTGGTAATGATGAATAGATGCATTGTTGTTAGCAGCATTTGACTTACTTGCTGACTTCCTTATATTGTGCTATTTCCTCAATGTAAAGTAAGTCATGTAACCGGGACTGATAGTTAGATTTGGTCAATGATTTGTCGAGTACAGATTGCGTGAAGAGCTGGTCTGCAGACAAAGGGATCTGATAGCGGGTGAGGAGACTTCTCTCTAAATCAGTAGTTTCATTTGGCTCAAACTCGACAATCGTCTTACACGTGGAATCCCATCGTTTAGCTGTGGTAAGCAGTTGCTGCCTCGCCTGCATCAAGTGTTCCAAATCTGAGGGCAAAAATTACAATTAAAAGAGAAGTTACTTTTATCAGAAGTTATTTTTCCCACACTTCGGACTCTCTTTGATGTTACTTAGGAAGGCAGATTAAAAAACACCTTGAATTCTTCTGCCAAACGTAGAAAGAAAAGTGAAATCACTGTCACCAGTAATTTACATTATATATCAGATTCAGATCAAACTTTACTTCTGCAGCGGTTGCACTCATTTTGCTCTTGCTCAATAAATGAACTTAAAGCAAATGACAGAATATTTAGAGTAGCTCATTTGCAGAAGCAAAATGTTAATCTCCTGTGGCGCAGCAATGTACCCCGTCTTGTTCCAAGGGTTTGTCTTTCCTCTTCCTCTCCATGCCAATCCTCCCACTCAACTGCATCAATCTCAGTCTGAAACAGCAGACTGAAGTGCCCCGTGCAATTTGCATTCTGTCCCCCATTGTGTTGGGAGAACTGAGGTGTGGCGGAGGCAAATCACCTGTCCCCCAAAACAACACTCACTGTAGAGAGAGAGAGAGATGGAAAAAGACAAACTGCTCACTGGGTCACAGTTGCAGGAGCAACAAGTCTGACGGATTGACGAGCCAAAATTCTAGCAAACCCCACTGCAACAGGTCTTATGCGCTGTTAACAAGGCTTGTTTTGAGTAACCTACCAAGCGCTCCGGGACACTACCCTGGGTGAGGGACGCTATATAAATGCAAGTTGATGTTGTTGTTATCTGAACCTATCTAAATATAAGTTGCTGCTGTTGTACCTTCTATCGATGCAGCGTCCACCATAATCCTTTGCATCAGGACCGGTTCAGTTCCAAAGTCAAAAACTACAGTTTGGCGAAAAGTTCCAAAGATTTCTGTGCTGAATTGTATGTTGATTTTATATACACAATGGTCCATTCCATTCTGAGGGATCTTGCCTCCTAGCCACTCCTGGCATTCTTCAGGTACCTCTTGTAGCACCTGGGTGTTCAGGTCACCAGCAGATACAGTCATAATGGAAAAATGAGGACGATGAGCATCATAGAGCAAGGCTATTCGATACAGCAAGCGTGCAGGCTGGAGAGAAAGTGAAATAACAGACACATTAATTAGCAAGTGTTCAGGCTTGTTGTCAAGAGTCCCTACAAATAGTATTTACTTCAACAGTATTTGATATCTCATCTCCTTCATCCCTTTGAACAGCCCATTTCAGCTTCGCTTCTGACCCACATACTTTGCGCAATCCTTTCGATTTCCACTGAACTTGAACAAAGCCTCTGGGCAAAACAGCTTTGGCCATGATCAGCTTGGGAGATTGTTAGTCACAGGTGTCACATGGGCCGGGAAAGAGGAAATGGGGCAGAAAATAGACAGAATCAATCTTGCCTCAGACATAAAAATGGACTTGACTTGTGTACAAAACTTCCATTTACCTTTTATAAATCAACGTGCTCTTTGCTGGTGATACATCAGTACAAAAACCTTAAGAGTATTATAGAAGAACCTTAGAAAGTCAGACCACGGCACTTACTTTACAGTGGAGGATAAAAGTCCATGCCTGACTAGATTTCTTGGTTGTCACAGTCACTGATAGCTGGGGGTTGTGTTCCACAGATATTCCATCCACAGATTCGCTGAGCTTTAAAAAAAGATAGAATTTACCATTAAATGTTGATTTAGAAGGAAAGCTTTTTATCTCTTGTTTATGGGAATCAAGGACCGCAGACAATTGTCAGTTGAAATGTACCAACTAGGTGCAATTAAAGCGATCTGCATACCACTTTTTCCGGAGATAATGAGTTCATCCATTTTTCAATTAAAGTTTCCATATAATTCCCAACCGACTGTTTATTTTCTTTTTGCTGTTTCAAACGCAGCAGCCGAGATGAGTAGCGTTTCTGCCATTCGGCCAGCTCTTCCTGCGAGTGTGCAGATGTGCATTGAGCTCCATATCTACAGATCTTCTGCTCTACAAACCTGGAATGAGGAAATACAATGGATACATCAGCTACATCGACAAACTGATGCCCCTCATAACCTGGAAAAAAAGTTGTTGGTAGTTGCAATAAACCTGCTTGAAGTTAATTGATTGGGCTGAAATTACAGCATTCAGACGCCACTGTGCTAATTCCAACTTCCAGCAAGTTTCAAATTGTAATTGTGTTATTCGCTACAAAATTCTCTGCAGATTCTTTGAAAAACTAATAACTAATAATCCGGTGGGTAAGAGTAGTTCAAAGGCTCTCAGGCCAATGTACAATGGAGCATTGTTTTACATTAATATAATAAAAACATGCACCTTTAAAGGGAATGTCAGCCTAAGCTAAGAACTCGAATCCCAACATGAAAATTGAACCAAAAACCTCCTGACCCAGTTGAGTATCATCAGCTAAACCAAACTCTCAGACAGATGTTTGTAAAATATTTTTTAAAGTATAAGCCTCACTATTGCCCCATGAAAAAACGTAGATCGTCGACTGAGCCAAAACTCACCCGTGCAAATAATTAGAAAATGAATATCACGCGACAATAAGACTTCTGAAACATTTAGCTCCAAACAGTTTTGAAATAAAATCCTTTCAAACATTCTCTGAGAGGGAGTCAATACTTGTACTGCAGCCCAAACGTTTAAAATTGCACAAGAAAATCAATAATTGGCATTAGAATATAAAAAAAAACACATCTCAGGAGCAAATGTTATGGAAAAGCAATTTTTTTTTGTGGGTAAGAATCGAGCTAATCCAGCTTACCTTTTACACAGAGTATACTCTTCACTACATGTGACCCCTCGGGGAGGAGGGCGGAACTGCCATCCATCTTGTGAATCTACAATTTAAAAGGTGGTATACGTTTCAAAGCAACCAGAAATTTATCCTGCATTCATTTTTTGTTATAAAATGTTCTCATCATTCAAAGACCAGCTGTCCGGTTGAATGAACTTAAAAGGATTTACCTTCTTCGGTGTCTTCTAAATATGCAGATATTAATTTATTGCTAGATGCCTGCGAAGTAAAGAAAGAAAGCGGATGAGATTTGACATTTCCGATGCTAACTTTGTTCTCTTGCAGGATCAAAGAGCGAAGAGCAGTGTGCTCACTTCTTGGGTTTCCAGTCTTAGAAGCTATTGTCATGAGAGGCCGGCAAGTCTAGCTTGTATTCACAAACAACATTGATGCATGCTTGGATATTGCTGAATGAATTACAACTCAAGGTGTGAGCTGAAGCTGCTTGCTCCCTTGGCCAATAACTGGGGCAGGAATAATACAGTGCTCAAACTGCTGAAGCCAATATGGTCCCTTCGATAATTCAGGGGTAAAATACCAGAACATAGTAGAACACTTCCAGAAGACTACCAGGATGGTAGAAGGCAAACTAGATGGACCTTGTTTCGTCCAGCAATTCCTATGTTCCTAGAACTTCCCAAATTCAGTGCTCACCTAACAGATTACTCACCTCCATTTCTGCGAGAAGCATTTTCAATCTGGTTACATCCTTTGTTACCATCCCATTCTAGAAGAAATAATGAATGGACACTTAATGAGTGTTAAAAACAAAACTGAGCTATCAAAAGCAGTGCAAACCGCTTATAAAATGGGTGCATTCTCAGGAATAATGTAAAAATCCTTTCTATCTGAACTATTTTCAACAATCAGAGTCTACTCTATGACAATTCCCCCCCACCCCCCCAGCACATTCGTTAGAAGTGGAAAAGGCAGAACGCGATACCATTAAACTCCCAAAGTTAAAAGGTAGGCTTTCATCATCAGCCAATATGAAGTTCCCATACCTGGATACCTAATGATAGAGCAAAGCTTCTCTTCCACAATTCCCTACATTGCCCGACCTCCTTTCGGGCTTACTTATGAGCGAATAAAAAGTAAAAAAGTAACCACCCCAAACCACTCTTGCAGACCTCGTCACAACTGGCTCAAGAGCAGCACAAGCCAGCACACTGCAGGGAACAACGTGTATCGTATATTGAGGGGGCGGGGGGGGGTTGTGTGGTGTGGTGGAAAGAGATGGAAAGGGGAAGAACAAAAAATCTTCCTTAAAATGTTACACAGAGGGTAATGTGGTTTCCAAGCAACATTAGATTGTGCAAGGAGTTCAAACCTTTCCTAAAATAATAATAGTAATCCTTGCATTTGATACAGCGCCTTATCACGTCTCAGAGGCATCTCAAAGTACTTCACAGAATATAATGTAAAGTGGATTGACTGTATAGAGTCCCACAAACAAACAGTCGTGGATTGAAGTGACCAAATTATGAAATGTTATACAGGGCGACCAAAAAGTCGTGATACCATTACAATGTCTAAAAAGAAATTATGATTTTCTATATATATATTTAGATAATAGGGTAGTTATCACGACTTTCTGGTCACCCTGTATTCACAACTTCTCCCAGGGGTAGAGCTGCTCTGCTCTGGGGCTCCCCCTTCACACCGGGTTTGATGACAAGGCCTCACACTCCCACACAAAGAGCAGTCTGCCGCCCACTTCACTACCCAGGGAATATGGGGGAAACAAGAATGATAACACATAACCTACCAACGATTCCCCCATCAAGGATTTTGATAAAATGCTGGACACCGCTTGTAACTTCCCTTCCATGTACATGCAGCGAAACACTGCTTGTAGTGTCCCGTCTCCCTTGGCCAGTCCCTCTGCCAACACTGCAGGCATAGAAATATAAATCTTACTATACTTCATAAGACTTTACTCCCCAAAGTCTGCCAGCAGAAAATATTTTAAAAACCCTCCCGGATCAGTTACTTTTAATGACTCTTTCAAATATCTCCCTGACATCAGAGTGTTATCCTGGGACAATGCATGGCAATCAGACAGCGATTTTTATTGTGACAAATCGCGTTGTCTGGCTTGCTGAGGGAAAACTTCAGGATCAGAATTACATGCAAGATAGCGAGGGTGCTTGGTGCGTCATCAAATTTTTCCTTTGATTGCAACATTAAAGAATTACAGCACAGGAGGCAGCCATTTGCCCCATCCATCCTAAGCTGGTGCTAGCACATCTTAATAATAATAATAATAATCCTTGCATTTGATATAGCGCTTTTCACGTCGGGAGGACGTCCCAAAGCGCTTCACAGGACACACTGTGAAGTGAATTGACTGTATATTTGTGGGCGAACGCGGCAGCCAATTGCGCACAGCAATGTCCCACAAACAGTCGTAGATTGAAAATGACCAATTTATTATTGTTTTGGGTTTTGGAGGGATTATTATTAGGCTCTGTGTGGAGTAAGGAAACTTGCCCAAGATTTCGCCCTGCCGGGAATTGAACTCAGGTCTCTCACTTGCAAAGCGAGTGCTCTAACCACTGAGCTACAGGACTCCATCTTAATGGAGAAGCACAGTTTATTTTTGGCACCACAGTAATTCCCCCACCAGCGAACTTAAGAAACATCTCTCGCTCTATGAAGGAGGCTTATAGTTTGGCCCTGATAACAAATCGCGAGGGTGCTTTGCAGTGGCAGAGATTTTTCTACATTCAGATTCCACTGTTCCACAGTTTGGATCATTTGTAATTGAGTTCTGGTTAATTAACTCTGCCCTTGTTTACAAGGGTAAAGACATCAAAAAAGTTAAAGCACAAGCGAACATTGGGTGTAAAGCCAATGGACCTGAGCTAATAGCAACTAACAGTCAAGACAGTTGCCTGAAACACGAATGCATGGGAAATGTAAACATACCGCCTACCTCCACCCCTCAAAAAAGTTAATTTTTTAAAAATCGCTCTTCCTCCTCATACCTCCTCAAAATCAATTTCACATTCCCCCTCTGAGTATATCGGAAAATCCAACTGTCTTTTGCCTCATCCCAGAACCGTGTCAGCTCCAGCAGCTCCTGGCCTCTCTCATTCATATCATAAGACTCAATTTTGTATTGAATTAGTGATTTTTAGCTCCTGACTGACTAGGATTCTAGAATTGAGCCTCTCTCCCCAACTTTGGGTGTTGTTTCTGATGCTCTAACATTGTATTTGGAAAATTAAAAGATTTTTTTTAAAAAGATTCACAAATTAACCAAGTCATTGCACGACTAGCAGGTGAAAGGAAAGATTGCAGAACATACCATTTTTACAGTCTTCATCCGCATGGTCATAGTTTTTCTGAAACAGAGAAAAGGGAGGATTATTTTTGGAGCAGCAATTACATTTATATTGATCTTTCCAGTACCGTGCACAAGTCAATTCAAAGTCAAGTTAATTTCCAGTATCGCCCCATCCAAAAATTGTGTGACGTGAGCCATACCAGATTTCAACTCACCTGTGACATCCTGCTCTTCAGACGAAGAGTGGGGAGAAATATGAGCATGACAAATTAAAACAAAATATCTATGTGGTGAAATTAGCTCAACCGGTGACATAGCTCTGACACAGCAGCTCTGGAATTAAGACTCCAGTACTGTATACATTCCAAAACTCCTGCAACTAGCAGGTTGGGCTCAAGTGAAGATGTTCCACACTGATAAGTGGCCGCTGCAGGTGCAGCCCGGCTATTTTCTTGAACACTCATTGAAAAATCAATTTGATCAGCCGAGTTAAATGGAATAATATTAGAACAAAAATCTTTTGAAGCACCTGAATCAAGTGATTCAGAATTGCAGTCTAGTCTAGGCATTTTATGTTAAAGAGGTGTCACTTTTCAACGATGTTCAAATAGTTTTCAATTCCAGCTCTTTTGAAACAAGAAACTGGAGATGGAGTTTTTTTTCCCAATGGTTGAAACTGTAAACTAATTCACGGCATTCACACACTACCTCACTCAACAGAATTTGCCGCGCCTCGACAAGTGTAAATGAAGCACCAGAGGGGTGAAAAAATTCTCAGTCTAAGATTTGAGGAGGGAAAAATTAAACTGTGAACAATCATAATACAGAAATCAAATTTGCTGTACTGTTTGCAGCTCTATTTCAAGTCTCAGTAGAGATTTTTTTTAAAAAGAATAAAAATACCGTATTTTCTGGAAATCCACATCCCTCCAATTGATACATACTATTTGTGTCAGGATAGCTTTTTAGTAATAAAGGTGCCGGGAAGATGTTTATTCATCAGTTTAAAGGCATTGTTTAATTATTATGAACTCCAAACCGTATATACAATACAGCTGCTGGAATTCTTGTTGAACACACAGGTTTCCTATAAAGCCTTAGAAAAGGACACTGAGGTATTTTAAACCATTTTCACTGGTTGAGCCTTAAGGTGAGTCATATTTTCTTTAATAGGACATTCCAAATCCATCTATAGACTTGTTCAATGACAAGCCGTTTGGACGGGTAACATATCCCACGACGGACAACAAAAACACAGCACCCACAGGCACAAAGCCAGATAAATTCTATCCTCGGAAAGCTAACAAGTACTTATTTTATGATATGCTCACTTGCTGTGTACATTGAAATTCGTTATCATCTGAAAATCCAGTTAGCGGGTACAGGTAACTCTAAACCCCAAAACATATGTATTTTAATAACCTACCAGTGACCTTGTTAAAATATTCCACGTCATGATTTTGTTATAAATGTTGCAAGCACCAGCATATGGCTTAACCCAATCTATTCTTTGAGGTACACACAAACACACACTCACACAAAACAGCATTCCAAGTGGTATTTCTATTCCCACAATTGACTAATGCAAAGCAGCAATAGTAGTATAATTATAGCTCTGTACCTTTACAAGAAAGGTACAAATTAAAAGTTTGAAGCCCATCCAAGGGTACAAAAAGATAGTTTTCAGACTAAAAGTAAACATTTCCCTTTCCAATCTTCAATGTCAGGTTACAACAGTGACTTGCAGCAAGGAAATCTCTTCTCTTTCTGACCATCGTACACATCTTTGGTCATTTGTAAAAGCCCTGAGTGGAGCATTCCTCAAAGTAAATATCAGAATATCACTTCTGGTCCTGTGCTAATTTATAATCCAGTCCCATTGAAGACTTTAACTGAAAAGTATGTCATTGAAATCCCCACAATCAAGTGTAGAGAAACATTCCTCCCACTCCTGGCTGAATGGGTCAAGTTCAATCAACTGCAGTGTGTATTTCTGGAGAAGTGCACATTACTTACAAGTTGCAAAAGGCAGGCTATCCTGTAGAGAAGACTTTCAATGCGAATTCGATCTATCTCTGGCTGGCATAACGTCGTTGAAATGGAAGAAAACTGGCTAAGGGTAACTAGCGCTTCTGTGCAGTGTTTTGCTGCCAACTCGTACTCCTGCACTCTCAGGTATTCACATGCTTGTTCACATGACTTTTCTGGTCTCCTGTCTGCCATGACTCAGCAACACAAATCCTACAACAAAAAGAAAGACTTCAATTAAAATAATGCACAGTTTGCTAGAAGAAGGAAATTAGCATTAAATGAGCATTTTGCTGAGACTTACTACCTGGCCACATTGCTTACACACTGCACTGAGACCATGCAATAAAATACCTACAGTAAACAGTAATTGTACTTGACGGTAATGACTATAAAGCGCTTTTGAAACGTTTCAACGTCACCACAGCTTTAAAAATGCAAGTTGCTAAATGAACAAATATGCCTGGGACGTTTCCCAGGTTTGTTCATATGCAAAACGACCTCCTGATATCAAACACATAAAGCAATTTCCCAACCTCAACCAACACCTCCTCGATATAGATACATAGGGTCACAGCCAAATGATGACTGTGCCTTCTACCCATAAGGGAATAAACAGCCACAAAACCTACAAGGGATTATTCACTTATTTTGTGGACTGTGAAGTCAATTGAATTCTTGAAGAGTTAATACAAGTATTTCTTTTTCAAAAAAATCAAGAGGAAAATTAGCATTAATCTTACACACCAATTTGCTGTCCCACCAGCTACTCAATGGCAAATGTTTCTGGTAAATCTCAACATTTAATCCAACATAACCCTGCAGCTAGGAAGATATCAAACAAGCTCAAGATTTAATGCATACACAATAAGCAAATGAAGTGCAACTTCATGGGCGAAGGAGAGTGAAATAAAAAGGTCTCTTTGTTAATGCTATTAAAAGCAGGGCAATGTAAAACAAAATGCACTTCCTATAGAATAACCAAATATGAGTTTCTACACTTGGAGCATGTCTGGGCAGAAACATTTAAATATCTGCAGAATGATTTTAATAAGACGTCTACCACAGGACATGTCACTTCCAAAGAAATTTCAGGACATGATAGAATTAAAATAGTGGGAACTATTTACTGTTGTCTCACATCATTTTCTGCTGTCTATTTTCAGTAAATTAACATTGGTTAATACACAGCAAAACATATTTACAACCAGTTGAACCAGTTGTTCCAGCATCTGGTCAGTAAGTCGGTAACTGGAGGGCATGGATTTAAGCAATTACCAAATTACCATAAGCTATTACCAAAATTGAAAGGGAGAGGTTAGGAGAAATGTTTTACACAGAGGGTTGTTAACAAATGTGGAATGCCCTACCTAAAACAGTGGCTGAGGCACAATCCATTTTATCTTTTAATGAGGAATTAGATAAATATCTGAAAAGCAGAAATATAAAAAGGACTGAGGAAAGGTAGGAGAATGGGATTTTAGTTCTTTCATATGAGACCAGCACAGACACGGTGGGCAGAAGGATCTCTATCTTTGCCGCAAACTTCTGTTTCGATTTCAAATATACGGCTCAATTTATACTTAAAAGAATTATGCATTGATCATCTGAATCTGCACCTCTGCAATTAATTGACTGTAAGACAGAATTATCTGTAGTTGGCTATGCTATTGATTTTCCATGGCTGATCATTTACTCCCCCCTGACCCAGTGTCGTGCTCCACCACTGTCAAGTGCTCCGGGACGCTACCCTGCATAAGGGGAGCTATATAAATGCAAATTGTTGTTTGAACATTATGTCAGGACTAAATGCAAAGTAAGATTTTCCAAAATAAATTACAGATTAATATCCACAATAAATACACAAATCTTTCAGTTCTGGAATCACACTAAATAGTTAAGAGAAACTATTAAGTAATAAAAATGAGGTGTGATACTGATATTTCTGTCAGATCTACACATTTAATACAGGACATTCATATCTATCAAAATGCCTTAACATAGATACACTAAAAGTAAAACATTAACATCGCTCCATGTAAACAACTTTAGAACATCTTTAATATTCCCGCACCAATTCACCAGCCAAATGCAATAACTGAAAACTGGTTCTGCAGTTAATTACTCAAAATTGGCAACACAAATCCCATTTTGCACAAGTTTGATTATAGAGCATTTCTGTAATACATCAATGAAATTTGTGCCATAGATGAACAGTTCCACAGTATTTACTGTTAACATCATAAAGTCATTTCACTCCATGACAAGAGAAGTAATGTATCTCAGCACAGACTGCAGATTTATACGAATACAAGCTTAGCATTGATCAAAAACATTTAAGATAACTTAAAAATCAGACTCCTATTGAAAGCCGTACAGTCTCAATTCTTCACCACATGAAACGTGTGTAAATGCAGTGAGAATTGGGATCAAAGCTTTGAACACACAAAATCAAGTTTTGAAGTTTCAGCAACAATTACTGCTGCCAGATTACGTGTACAGCAACTTCAACGATTCAGCCACAGGCATCGGTCACAAAATTTCTTAAAAAGTCACAGTTATTAACCTTTCAAGTGCCCAATTGTTTACATTCTACCACACACACCTGAAGCCCTAGGAACGCAAAGAATAAGTAATGCAGTCTTGTTTAAGCCACAGACAACTACCAAATACAGAAGGAAAGTATTCCTGCAAGGCATTTCTATAAAGCATCAAGTATCAGGAGGTTGCCCCCTGCCAACAGGACTGTAGTGTAGCATGCCAATAGTTTCAAGAATGGAGGGGTAAAAGGAAAATACAGGTGTCAATTCTGGGATAGTTTAACCTTTCCAATCTTAAAAGTTCTGGGTTGGTATTAAACATATTTACATCAGGTATGCTATACCTTAACCACTGTAAAGCATCTATCTATTCTCTGTCCCAAATGTGTTAACTCCAAATTGTACCCTCAACTGGACCACCGACATTTCCTACACTCAACAGTCTTGTGCCCAGAGTTACGCTGCTAGTGACTTATATACTTAACTAGCATTTTGGTTGAAATGGGCAAAACTAACTTTGGGTTCCTGCTTATGTGACATTCATCCCACAGCCTGGGAAAACTAGAAGTAAAAGTATGACATTAATCCTCTGCACCACTCAGTCAGAGAGGGTTGTTATTTTAATAATTTACCACCTAATTATATTTTGAATTCAAAGCACGTAAAATATTGAACACATGCAAAAGAAATTTGGAGGCCAAATTTTACCATGTTTCCTCAAGGCATGTAAGAGAAGATTGGTGCAGTACACACTGGTGCGTACCACTCAAAGTCCCCAAAAGGAAAAGATGTGGTTTGTACTCTTAATTCCATACCACTGTTGTCCCATCAGATGAAGCAACAGAAGCTACAGAAGTTAGGTGAGGATCCAAGAGGGTTCTTACCAGAGAGACAAATCAACATTTAGATATTCAAAACGAGCAATTTGGTCTAAATTCTGAGTGAACATTTTCATTTCAACATGGAGAATGACATATCCCAAATGTGTAAAAGTCACCACTTTGATATAACCAAATGGTTGCCTGTGGTAAAAGCAAAGAGGTAGGTGGAGAGCACAACCGCCACATTTGTCTAGACACAGCACTTTTTAAATTACAGCAGTCTTCAGCAGACTTAATAGCAGATTAGCACAATGGGTCACAAAGACATGTGATAGAGGCTGGAACTGGGTGTCCTAAAGGGCAATCTATATCAGTCTCAAGGTCCCAGGAAGATATCAGAAAATGGCCAATCAAGGACTCGATGTGAAAACAACAAGATTTAGCAATGAGGAGAGCAATCTAACTTCACCAGTGATACCAATATGCTAGCCTCACTGCATAACTGCACTAAAATTTTGCATATTTCTAACTATGGTTCAATAGGGATGAGTCAACGAGCTTAGTCTTGGCTCTTTGGTGCAAACAAAATGAGTCAAAGCCACTAAATCTGAAATCAACTGTAAACCAAAACAAGCACTTAGGGTTAACTCTAACTCCCACCATCATACTATCTGCACAGGGCCCTACGTATGGATTTGTACTTGTGCGACACTCTGTGGAATAATTTGTCAAGTCAAATTAGGAATGAATGCATGCAACAAAAGACAAAGTAGTTTGTAAATTCCTTTCCTTCTTTCCTCTCCCAATCTCCCCTCTCCAATATACTAACTCTGTTATCCAAGAAGGCTATCAGTTCTCAATATTATACATCCCTTTGACCATACATTGACAATATTATGCTCCGTGGAAGGATTTACACCTACTGCAATTGCACTGAGCAATGTAAATGTGCAATTGTACAGTTCTAGCGGAAGAAGAGGTGGTACCTTAAATTATTCCTTCAAACAAGTACTGTAAAGGGAAGCAAGAAATTGAAGTGATGAAACCTTAGTGTATCCTTAATCAATAGAACTTGGCACTTGAATATTACAGTATCTTGAGACAGTACAAAATGTTTCATGCATAGAAACTGAGTGCTTTCACTGTCACGCTTCCAACTGAAAATGCAATACGATTCTATCAAATTCTCACACATGATCAACTTTTTTAAAAAAACATAAATGTTAAAGGATTATCAGATCTAAGCAACTCAGTGTATTAAAAATATTCTGGATAAAGCAAGTAGTCACAATCTCATTACAAGACCAGCTATAATATAGCATTACTTTATGGATCAAATTTGGGACTTGACAGTTTAATGAAATATTCAAACCATTACTGGGAATTACCTACCATACACAAAGCTAGTTATACTGATATACAATCTCAACAATTTACTCACAAGGGGAGAAGGTAGAGATGGCAGATCAGAAGAATACATGGGAGTATTGTAATTCCAATCAAATGTGACGATTTCATGGCTGTGCACCATGGAGAAGTATGATGTGGATTGGGCTACAATTGCCAAATGGTGATATCCCAACTCAGCTGTTTCATTCCAGGGAGATAGTTGTCAAATGGGGATCAAGTACACATGCACAGACGGGTAGCTATTTAAAAAAGAAGGCACATCTCTTACCAGATGACAATACAGTAGCATTGCAACAAGACAAAAGAGAAATATTTCTATATGCCTAACAGATTCGCATCCACAATCGCCTTGCCAACCACACGACAGGGCACATTCTCATCCAGTCTTAACAAATACACACAAGAAGTGAGTTCCAATTTTACTCAAAGTACAGAAAGGGAA